CATACATACTTGATCCCATACATAAATTCGTAAAGTAAGACAGCATACGGTAGATTCTATGTTTCCGGGAATGACCCAATTAACAATTGGAACCACTTTCTTAGCGCCGCGGTCACTTGTAATGATATCCGTAGTAAAATACCCACACAAAATAATTATGTGTTACATTATGGGTGCTATTGGGTCATTCCCGTTAGTCTAGATGGTCTAAAAGTCTAAAGTAGACCTTTTAGACTTTTTAGTTTAACGGGAATCATTAAAAACAGGCCCCCAACGGACTAAATTTTTGGCGCTCTTCTACTTTTAAGGAATTCGGAATCACAACGGCAATGACTTATAAGACTGAAAAGAGCCGGTACTAGGTAAAACACGAAATTTTCGTTAACACGAAATTTCTACAGTAACTCCTACTACTAAGTCACTCATAAATTGAGCTTTTCCTAAACAAAAGACAGTAGTCGTCTCCCAGCAAAAAAAGGGATACAACAATGGGTGTCATCGAGACTACTTCCATGCAGGGAGGACTGTGTCGCCAGTTGGAAACAATGCATTCTTTGAATAATTCCCATGGTCAAGTTGGATATAACAGAACAGATTGTTAGATCTGTTAAACCGATTCAGTTAAACCGATTCAACGCAACGCGTATCGATTCAACGCAGCAACGCAACAACGCGTATCGATTCAACGCAGCAACGGAACAACGCGTATCGATTCAACGCAGCAACGCAACACAACGCGAACTTACTGGACCACCATGGTGGGGGGGAAGGTTGGTTAGTTTAGTTGAGGTCTGTTTAATTCACGGCAGCAGATCTTATTCATTAGTTTAGTAACAGGAAATAGTGAGCAGCAATGAAAGCAGTGCAGTTCCTTGTGAGCACGCGTTACAGCGTGTTGTTCCAAATTTTCGCCGTGGATTTCTGTGGTCGTAGTAGCAGCATAGGTTTTCTTGCATACCTTTCGTGGGAGTTGCATACCTTTCGTGGGAGTGTTTCATGGGAGTCGTTGTACCGGAATATACTGCAATGAAGACTAATATGTTCGGAGAGTGAATATATAATGTAATGAAGATATATGATACAACCAATGCATGTGAGTGCCGATCAATGCATGTGTTTTGAAGRCGAACCCCGGTTCGTGGGATTGCATCACGCGTGCTCACTATGAATTCCGTTGAAATCCCGGTTTTCATCGGTATACTTCTAGTCCCGGTTTTCGTTTACTATCAGCAAATTAGGATCAACACTGATCAACACGGTGTAACGCGTGGTAGTATGAAAGAACTAATCATTGCTAATTGATGCTCATTATTTCGCTTTTTGCTGTTTGCTGTATGTTGAATGTTGAATCGTAATCGTTAATCACTGCTAACAAGAAGATTGAATTAGTTGCTATCACCATGGGATTTGCTGGGATTATTCACTATCAGAATCACCACCAGTGCGTCGGCGCTTGTTGCTGCTGGTGATGTTACCAGCGAGTGCCATTGCAATAGTTTCAGCCATGGTACGCCAACGTTCGTCTCTAGCGTCTTTGCGTTTAACCCTTGCAGCTTCCATTTCAACAGCGCGTTTTGCTCTTTCAGCTTCCCTCTCATCAGCCTTCTTCTGTCTTTCAGCTTCCCTCTTGTCTCTGTCAGCATCTCTCTTATCCTGATGCATGAGGTAACCCTTAAGAACAGCGTCCTGTTCAGCAATTTCCTTCTTCAGTCTTCCATAAGATCTCTTTCTTGGTGTTGCTGTCACAACAATGGGCTGTTGTTTGTCACCAGCGGCGTCAACAATGGCGGTCGAGTCGGAAGTTGATGCTGTTTTGCTCGATTTGCTTGCTTTTGGAGTCAAAACGTATTGCATGTCCTCCTCATCCAAGTCCTCATCATCCTCATCATCGATGTAACCTTTGACTGGATCAAAGATCTCCTCTCCATTACCAATGTTTGCTTTGATCCCAATCAGGTGATGGGCCTCTCTTGCAAGCCGGACTGACTCAGGAATATTGGGATTCCCAGTCGGTGCCTTCTGCCTCCTCAATCGATTGAACTTGGTCTTAATGGAGTCCTTGCTCCTACCATAGGGCCAGTCTAGTCCGTGTCTGTGAACCACCATATCCCAATCAGTCTTAGCAATGGGGAGGATCTCCTTGATGAGAGTCATCAATGAGATGAGCTCTTTTTCTGAGTAGTTTGCAGTACCGGCTTTACGGCCTGACCCCTCTACTTTTGATTGACCTCCCGGGGGAGGGACAGCTGGCGCCGGTGCAGCTGCTGGAGGAAAGCGTCCCCCATTGCATGGAGGAATGGTTGCATAAGGACCAGTAGGGGATGGCATCTTTGCTTGCACTGTGAATATTGTGTGAGGGATCTTCCCCCCTCGCGTTGCTTGATACACGGCCTCCAACAGTTGAGCCTCTCTTTGGTTCAATCTAACGTATAGCGTAGCGAATAAGACAGGGGACATTGTTATGATTGCTGTTGTTGTTTGCTTTATGACAAAATAATGGCGCCGGCGCCTCCTAATTTTTTAGTAAATTCTTTCAGTCTTAAATTTGGCGGGTCTTTTCAGTTGAGTCCTACAACGGATTTTGATTCTTGGATTCCAGTCTAGATTTAGACTTTCTGTAAGGCGGGGGGGGGGGGCCTTACAGAAAGTCTAAAAATTGAGACTAGATGGTCTATTTTCGTCTGTCTGTCTTCCAAAAAAGTAGACCGTCTAGACTAACGGGAATGACCCAATACAAGTACGATTACGGATGCGAGTACTAACTTGTTCTACGGTGCATCGTACAGAATTATTTTTAAAAAATCGTTAATACTTTAGTACTGTAGACACTATCGTAGGTTACTTCCGTACGGTATGGTACAGTAACTCGTACCTAGTACAATTCTTTATTTCTACTTTGATTTTTGCATAACACCGTCCCCTATNTTAAGGTGTACTGTGTGTATGATGTTGACACTGGGAACTTAATTGCATTTGAGATCTACACTGGTATTCGTAGTACTACTAGTGGGTCTACATCATGGGATACTATTCAGCGGTTGGTACGTCAATCCAATCTTGGACAACAAAATGTTTGTCGACTGTTCACGGACAACTTCTACACTACAATGAAAGTTGTGACCAAGAAGCTATATGAAGAATATAGATGGGTATCAGATTATCACTAGTAGCCTAGCATGTGACGAGGTTATGAAGAAGGAATAGAAGATATACAAATCAAAACAAGTTTCAATCTCATCTTGGCATTGCATTGATGAATAGAGGTATTGAAATGAACTGGAAAGCTCCATATGATGAAGGTTCTAAGCCAGAGTGGATGCCTCAGACTTCAAAGAATGGAAAATATCACCCTTGCTATTGCTGCAGGATTTGTTCTTTCTTTGTGAACAAGAAGACGAGGAGGAGCACCATTGCTCATGAAAAGGTAATGTCAAAGCCACATAAAGAAAGATTCAGTGGCAAGTATGAAGGAGTAAAGAGAAACTATTGTGTTATCTGTGTAGAAGAAGCAAAGCTTAGGTATCCTAACTCATCAGTGAAGAGATTGAGGAAGTTGCCAGCAGCATCATGGTGGATTAGTAGAAAAGAGGAAATGTCAAGGAATGGTGGTTGCAGAAGTTGCAATGTTGCTGTATGTAAAGAGCATTGGAGTAACTTCAACCATCAAGTGTAGTGATGTGTTATACAGGAATATATTTATATTTGTTAAAATATGTTCTTATAATATTGTTTATAGTGATGAGAGGTGTGTGATAGTAAGTGTAGTAGTAGTAGTGTAGTAGTACTACCCCCCCCAAAAAAATCCTTAATTTTCCAGGTGGCAACATTTGGCAACACGCGACGGGAAAAAGTTAACAATTGGAACCACTTTCTTAGCGCCGCGGTTACTTGTAATGATATCCGTAGTAAAATACCCACACAAAATAATTATGTGTTACATTATGGGTGGTATTTGGGGTCATAGACCTATGTGGTAGGATTTTTTGCTGCCGATTAGGCAATAATGGGTGATTCCCGTTATTCTAAATCTCTAAAACTCTAATCTAGAGATCTAGAGTAACGGGAATCAAGACATTCAACGGACAGACTGAGAGGATGCCAGCTCAATTGCAGTCTTTTCCGGAATCTGGAATCTTAATTATTTTCAACGTAAAGACTAAAAAAGACTCAAACGCGCAAAGTAGTGAAACACGCGCATTCAAAGTAGTAAAACACGAATTTTTTTATTCGTGGGTTCCACTCTAAATCTAGAGTATTTAGAACGGGGTGGTTCGACAGGTTCTAAATGTGCTAAATCTAGAGTCAAATTCACTAAATTTTTGGTCTGTCAGTCTATCAAATCTAGAGTTTTTAGAATAACGGGAATCACCCAATGAGAGTGCAAGTTTAGTTGCATTTTCAAATTCAAGACGCGGGTGCCTTAAGAATCTCATCTAAAGACAGGATCATTGTGTAAAATACTAGTGCTCTATGKTACCATTAAGTGGTTTCAATATTTTTTATTGTCCGTCAAATAAGAATTTTTATTAAGYGTAGCATCATGGAAATGTCCCTGAGTATTTTTTTCTGACGTTAATGTCCCTTAGAGTTTTATTTCTGACGTTTTCCGTTCTTCTCCTCGAGAAAAAGTTTTTTTCTACTAAGTACGTACGTAAAATTCGTTACGTCATACCGTATCATGGTGAACAAATCATGCCTTCCGATTCGCTTTTTGATCTTGTGTGAATACCATGACCGTTCTTTGTTTCTATTCCCCCGCACGGGGGGGGTTGTTACATAAGTACAGTGGTTCGGTATTCGACTCAGTGGTTACCACAGAACATAACAGGAACTGTCACAGCCGTTGTCGAGTAATGAAGGCGATAAAGTTTTTCAAAAATTCCCACTAATTACCAACGTGAGGTCGTTGGAAAACGGTACTCGTACTGGAATAACAGTATTAGAAGAAAAACTTCCAGTACTTTACCCATACGGTAAATTCGTAGGATTCAGATTCAGATTGCAATAAAAATATCAGTTGCCGTAAGTTTTGCAGAGAAGCTTCTTGTTSGTGAACAAGCAAAAAGGTCCTAGAGCTCACAAAACATACCAGAGCGAGAAAAGAAACACACAATCGCCAATCGAACAAMGATGTCATTCGCCACTGCCACAACGATGCTACAGCTTCTGATCGTCGCCGCGCTGAGCCTCTCCATCGTCGAAGGGGACGAAGCCACAGACGCTKCTGTCGGGGACCTTACTACCGTCGTTTCTGCTTCTCAGGTCCGTGATTGGAACGAGCGGAGCTACGAACACTTTCGAACCGAATACGAAAAGATGGGATGCGTGGAATTTCTGGGAGATTTCCCGGTGTTGACCGCAGAGGAAGACAGTTTTGGGGCCCAKAATTCAATTTTGACGAGAGGACGGTCGCTGCAAATGTCGATGGATGACACTTCCGGCGGCATGATGTGCTCCTGCTACATGCTCTACGATCTAGGTCGCTTGGCGGCCAGGAAAAAMTCCTCTGGGGTGGCGGCAGGGAAAGCGCAAGCGACGGCGGGAGCAGACTGCGTCGGGGGCTACGCCGGCATCTACCCCTGCGAGAACGTCGACCTGGTGGGCTTTGTTCCAGTCKACTCCCTCCCGTTGCCCCGCTCGGGAGAGCCCGCCAATGCTGCAAACGATGTCTGGGGTTGGACGAGCAGCACYGACCGAGAATTCGCCATCTGGGGCACAACCGAAGGAACGTTTTTTGTGGAAATCATGGACTCACCCTCCAACCCCTATTTTGTTTGGGGATTCATGGAGAGCGAAGATGGTTCTGCATTGCAGCGCGACATCAAGGTCATYGGGGACACTGCCTACGTGGGAGCGGAAAAGGAYAATCACGGCATTCAAATCTTCGACCTGAACCGTCTCTTAAATATGGTCCGAAGCGATTGCTCTAGCCCCGCCTGCCAGTCGCTCGCTCCGGACCATGTGTACAGGGGATTCGGTAGCGATGTTATTGGGAACTCGCACAACATCGTTGCCAACGAGGAGAGCGGATATTTGTACTTTGTGGGTAGCAGGCAAGGATGCAATGGTGGGTTGCACATTGTCTCTATCAATGACAACCCACTGGATCCGAAATTTGTGGGATGCTTTGGGGACGATGGATACGTGCACGACGCGCACTGTGTCAAATACCGTGGCCCCGATGATAGGTATCAGGGCAGAGACATATGCTTCTGCTTCAACGAAAGCGTTGTAACGATTGTGGACGTAACMGAGGGTTCCAATTTCGAAATCCTTTCCCGTGCTGGCTACAAACGGAGTGGTTATACTCACCAGGGGTGGTTGTCATCGGACCACAAACATGTTGTCTTTGGAGACGAAACAGACGAGTTACAAGCAGTGTGGGGCGGAMGAGAACCAAGGGTTCGAACGATGATCCTGAACGTGGAAAATTTGTCTTCTCCGAAAAACTATCGAGAACRCTTTGGGAAAGCTACCATCGATCACAACCAGTATATCCGCAAGGCAAATGCTGCGGGGCTTAATTACAATAACGAAAATGATTTGATTTTCCAGGCCAACTACGAAGCCGGATTGACGATTCTACAAGCCATCAATTACGATGAAGGGGATCTCAGGGAGGTTGGTTCCTTTGATACATTCTTATATGGAGGGGAAGATCCCTATTTTTCTGGTGCATGGTCGACGTTCCCGTATTTCTCGTCGGGGTTGATCCTGATCAGCAGCCTCCGAGAGGGATTGTTTATTGTGAAGCCCAACCTGGGAGATGCCTTGGTCACATCCGAACAGCCCATTGAATCCCCATCGAAACCGCCATCAAAGCCTCCAACGAAACAGCCCTCACAACCACCCACTCAATCACCAGTCACGGGGCCACCCACTCAATCACCAGTCACGGTGTCACCCACTCAATCACCAGTCACGGTGTCACCCACTCAATCACCAGTCACGGGGCCACCCACCCAATCACCAGTCACGGTGTCACCCACCCAACCACCCTCCGGGCCACCCATCCAACCACCCTCCGGGCCACCCACCGCGGTAGTGTCGGGCTGTGAGGATAGCACGACTCTGGATTACAAAAACAAAGGGAAAGGATGTGGTTGGGTCGGAAAATTCAAAGGCAAAGCCTCCGTCGAGTCGAACGAGAGAAATCGAAAAAGAATTCGACGAAAATGCAGGCTGAGGTGGAAAGGAAGTCGGCTCCACAAGTTTTGCCCAACAACATGTGGACAACATGGGATTGGAAAATGCAAAAAATTATTTCGCGAGAACCTGTAGGGTAGAAAGGACTGCAACCTTTCACTGAAATAAACACATGCAATGTAAATATGATTTTTTTTAATGAATCTTTTCCACACAATCCAACACCGTGCAAATGGACACATCCACATAAATGTGGAGGGTATGATTGACCAGACGAAGCGAGTGATCGATCCAGGTGATCCAGAATKCGGCGACATGAATTTCTTGATCATTATTCGGCTTTCCATATCCACTATGCAACCAAATACGAAGTAGTAATAGACTTACTGTATGATGTTAACTACTTTATAATTGGGGATCCAGCACACAAACGATTGGTATAATACTGCACTGACACGTAACAGGATTCTAAGTCYACCGCTTGTAGTATGTCCACCAGACCGCATAAGTTCGTCTCTTGAGCTCCCAACCTCAAAGATATGCGGTCGAGCCATGCATTCGTTCAATCTGCAAGCGCAGCAAAGTGATATTTGATACTTAGATATCGTGCAAGAACAGAGCGTACCGCAGTCCMAATGCATGCCAAAGGGAGGAGACGTCCTCTCTTATCTGCCCTATTCCGTATCATAAACGTTCATCCCTTACAGTATAACACCGTGCATCATCGAGTGAAAACCTATTCGGGCAGAGAGATATGCAAAACCTCGATCCAAAGATGTAAAGAATACCCGTAGACAGACACAGAGCAGAAAATTTCCAACTTTGGARGAGCAGYAAACCCAGTGTCCACAAGCTACCAAAAGTCGATTCCTCCGTCAGTCTGTGCAAGCATCCATGTCTTTCTCGATCTTGCCGCACCGAACGATCCTTTGTTGCATTCCATTTTTCTTCAGAAACAGGACATGCGCATCTTCCATAATCTTGCGTATCGGTTTCAAACATCATTCRGAAAGAGAGGAGGAGTTTCCTCGTTGTCGGCTTTGCCATGGTTTTCGTTGCTACACATGCTGTAGTCGTCGCTGCCGTCGATATTCCTGCTACTATCATCGGCACTGGCAKGTTCCGTGTTGTTGTCCTCGTCGGCTGTCCGTTCGTTTTCCTTTTCTGGCTCGGAGGTGATCTCGGTGCCCTCGTCCTTTTCCAAGTCAAAGTTGTCGTCCAGGTCGTCGTCGAGACAGACGGTCTTCCCGTCGCTGTTTTCCCCCCAGAGAGTTCCGAATGCTCGAATCTTGTCCTTGAGGCACCAATCGGCCACCATCGACAAAGTAAAGCATCCCGCAATGGAACAAAAGATGATAACRAACATTTCGAAAAACCCGTTGAGGCTYTCCTTTYGCGGATCGKMGACCACAAAGAAGGCGCGGGAAGCYGCTGTTGATGCTGTAGAGGCCTCGAAATTCGAAGCATTCACGTCGTCACGAATTGAGTGGAGCGTTGCAGTCATGGGACCAACCATCTCGTATTGGCAGGAAGAGAAGGAAAGAATGCCGCTGATACTATTCGCAACATGATGATCTTCAACTAATGGAATCTCCTTCACCAACATCGGTGTGCTGTTGTCTACATGGCTGTTGCTCGAGCCTACTTGCTGCTCAATGACAATCGTGGCGGAAGAAGTAAAAGACGACATAGATCCCGTTGGAATACCGACCTGGTATGCCAGTTTCACGACCTCGTTGTATCCCCAGACAGTCTGCAGCACCATCACAAAGGAATCCGAGTAGGTCCCGTATACGCCAAACACCTGGACCGGGGAGGCGAGTCCGTGCCGGYCGTCGTGATTGGTGTCTTTGCCATCCTTGTTTTCTGGTTGACATGGAACGAGATATGGCTTCTTACCAAGGCCGTCATCGTTGCCATTTAGCATGGTYAGACAGAAGGGTTTCRTTTCGATCACATCCCTGCCGGTTCTCCGTTCGAGCACGGGAGCCAGGGACTGCACACGCCCCTGCCCCGTAACGAGAAAACGCATGTGACGGCTAGCTGCCATTTCTTCCGAGCTGGCAGCAGMATCGGYAGGGACAGCATTGTCGTATCCCTCGTCGAGAACGATGCTGTTGCGAACGTTGCTTTCGGACGGACATTCTTGCAGTTTCAGTTCGTAAGGYTTGCAGGGTGCTTCGAAAAGGGCAACATCACTCGGCCCCAAGCAGAGATCTCGGCTCCCGCCGACACCATCTTCGGAACCCTGGAACGGCGCTCGAAGCAAGCCATTCTCGTACCGCCAGTTCGGGAGTGGTTCGTCTTTGTCGTCAAGGTCCGCAGGCAGAAAGTCGAGACCGGGGTTTCGCGAGGCTTTCTCGTCAATGTCTTCGAACGTTCGACTTCCATTCCATCCTAGGCAGTGCAGGTCTCCACCAACAGCATCRATGTYGTCGATGGTGGTGCACAAAGCAAGATTTCCGGGGTTCTGTAGGTCGGCAATAGCATGAATGAAACAAATGTCGAAGGTAAGAGACATGGATGGACGGGTGAATGATGAATTGAGTCGCTCCTTCTTTGGCTATAGACGAATCAACAGGAAAGTYTTGTTCGAGGCCAGTGGGTTCGATCCTTTCTACACGCGATCTTTGTGGAGGCAACGAAAGATGTTTAAGATGCGTACCATTTCTTCAAGACTCGTAGGAACTGGCATTGAGGAAATCGAGGGGAAAAGGAGAAGGCATGTGATGGATGATGGCGACAGCAGAGACATCGAGGCCGGCAACCATGGGATGGGAGATTTCGAAAGTAGCATGGTGCTGCTGCTGTTGTATATTGCAAGGAGTATTTTGATGTTGATGTTGATGGTTTTGTTGATCTGTTAATCGCTTGGATGTGCCACAGYCTGTTTCGCAGAATGCCAGAGAAGCAAAAGTAGGATGTACTAATCGCCAAGATTCAGTGTTCACGCTCCAACCTAAGAAGAATTGAATCCATGATTCCATATCATCCACCGGACATGATCGATGCCGAGGTTCGTGTTCGATGGATGACATWGGCTTTCTTCCTGTTCGATCGCTGACGAAGCAGACAAATTTATTTTTTACAGGTTTTTCAAAATTCACGCCACGAGCAATGCTAGTGGGCCACGAACAAATCACAAGAAAAAAATTAAGATTCTTCTCCCCATTGAAGTTTCTTCTCGTTTCAAAATGAAGGAAATAGCAATAGTCGAGAAAAGGTTTGGGAGTTTAGGACTTAACCCCTTCTTGACCTTTSAACGGCTGATCAATCGTGTAAACCTGAAGGCCCTATYRAGTAGAAGTACAAAACTGGAGAGGCTTACGGCAAAAGACATCGGCTATTCAACTAGTTTCCTGGGCTCTGTGATGTTGCTTCTCATAGTCGCGTCATCCCTTAATTGCGAAACTTTGTACGGTAGGAAGTTTGAGTTTCGAGTCAGAATTTTTTAATTCTTTCCGGAATTCTTTCCTCCTGAAACACGGAAAGAAAAAAAAACAACCGAACCACGAAAATTACATAGTAGTAAGTGAAAGAAGTTTGCACATGTGATTACGCTCYGTGTCTACGATATCTGAAAACACGTGGGAAGGATTGGGTTGGTCGCGTTTGTGCGAATTGCAATTGTTCATGACGGGAACCTAGGACTGAACATCCAATCATAGGATGAGAAGAAAGAACAGCCATAGCCATGSGAACGACCAATTGCCCGATCAGACATAGAAGTTCAGGCATCTAGAGAGAACAATGATCAAAAGTTCGAACAAATACGGTTTTGGCAGCTTGTACTGTACGGTACCGCTGCGAGGAAACAGCAAATTTGCAATTACTGTTAGTACAAATTTAGTCCCTCACGGTACATACGGTATTAAATGCATCCAAGAATGAACTGCACCACAAACTACAGTCCAAATTTGATTGTGGTGGGAAAAAAGCAACTGAACATCAGATTCAGAAGAACTAGTTTTTGRTACAATTTATTTTAACATCCTAATGAACATATTGGGTTCAATGGGAAGTTAGGTCATACGATTTTTATGCTGGTGAAACTACTACTGCTGCTGGTGGTGGTGATTGCTTGTAGTAGTACTAACAAGGACGAGGAGTACTACTACTACTAGTACTAGTAGCAGGAGGTCATAGCAGTATAGTAGTACTACTAGGAGGAGGAGTACTAGTAGTAGTACTAGTACAAGTGCTAGTAGTACAACCAGGAGTATTACTACTACTACTACAACAACTACTACTACTAGTAGTAGTACTACTAGGAGGAGGAGTACTAGTAGTAGTACTAGTACAAGTGCTAGTAGTACAACCAGGAGTATTACTACTACTACTACAACAACTACTACTACTAGTAGTAGTACTACTACCACACCATACAGCTTGGCATTAAGGATGATTCTGGTGGTTTAGTACTACATGACTTAGTACTACTACTACTACTAGTAGTAATAGTAGTAGTAAAAATAGTATTGTTGTTTAGTAGTAGTACTATTTTAACTCCCATCAACAAGTTGGATTTTGAGAAAAAGAAGATGGCTTGACGATGAGTGATATTCCAGGTAACAACACAAGAAACTTGATTGGCTGGTGTTCTTCTTGAGAGCATGGTTGCAAATAGGTGGGGGGAGGCTTTCCAGCAATGGTCTTGGATCATTTTTCTTATATCTCTTGTTGACAAAGATTCCCAATGTCATTTGAAAGATCCTGCAGATTGTCCTCAACTTTCCCTGAATTCTGCTGTTGCAATCATACTCTCCTATTGGAAGATTCCTGATTGACACAAGTGCTGGCTTTCCTRGTTTAATGCCCTCATCACCTTTCAGTGGGAGAATCTTCTTCTCATTATACTTCCTAATCCATCTTTGAAGAGCATGATAGTTTACAATAATTTTTTCCCCTTCACTCAACAACATCCACATGAGAGGCTTCACTGAATAGCAAGTGAATACTGCTAGACTCTTTGTGTTGACCTGAGTAAGCACTACCAATTGTTGCAAGCACTTCTACATCATGGGTTTCTTATACTAATTCTCTAACTGGGTTACAATTATATCAGCTGACTTTATGTATGGCCTTCTTCTTGGTCTCTTTGCTGGAGGTGATACTACTATTGGTGAGGTATTTTGGGTGGTAATTGATTGATTTCTCTATAAGCACCTGTTCAAACATAAACTTCATCTTGTTGACCCAACTTGACAAATGTCTGAAGCCTATCACTGATGACTCTCTCCTTGCTTTCTTCAGCCACTGTAGCAGACAGAAGGTCATTTGCCAGTCTGAAACCTGAGTGCTTCATCTAGCAGGTCTACCAAGAACTCCCTTCATGTTGTGGTAGCATACATTCTTCACTGCATCGTCATTTTCTAGAAGCCGTCATAGCTACCATACTTTTTTGTAAATAAAAAATCAAGGCACGGTAACTCTCTATCAATCTTTCCAAACTTTCAAGCAAATTTAAAAACACGAAAATGCACTCTCTGTTGACATCCATACATCGAAAAACACGTCGTTTCAAAATGTTCAACAAGCACACCGATTACAAACGTGCTAGCAGACAGCAAAAAAATGTACACATGTGATGTTCGGTAAGCATCCGTCATGTGCGGGGTATCATTAAACTTTAAAGTMATTGYCGGCCTTGCATATCCCAATGTCTTCGAATTCCAGACAAAGATTTTAGCTAGCTGATATCTGGGTATGAGATTGCACGTTTTTGGGGCCATTGCCTCCTTTTTTCGATTGTCTTGACTCTTTCGATAGTTCATTCCCAACCAAACAGATTCGTCCGGGGTTTGACCATCGTCTCGGGCAAGGGCAAATCGGTCTTGACCATGGTTTGGGCCCGTATCTCCTGCAAGTCTCTGGGCTTTGGAATATGCTCCATGTAGACGGTTCGATTGTCCTCCTCAGCTGCTTTTCGTCGATCCGATGCCAATCGCAACAATCCCTCCGCCTCTGGTTGGATAGTGGCCGCAGCCTCCGCAATGGGACTTATCGCCGCACTACCCTTGCCGCTTTTGCCTCCCCCCGCAAGAGTAATGGCTTCCTTCAGGACCTGGGTTGACCTGCAAAAATCCAGGACCGAATCGAGGGCCGAAATAGTTTGGTTCAAACGGCCGATCTCCAGCCCGTGTGCTTTGGTCAAGCGCCCTTCGATGGACATGTGAAAGTAGGCCCGGGCCTGGCAGACCAACGAGCGGGCCTTACAGTGGGCCGCCCATTCCCGGCAGCGCGTCGGAAGTTCCGATTGCAACCGGGGATCCTGTGCCAGTATCAGTGCTTCGTTGTAGAGCGGGGCCGCCCCCTGGATCAGGTACGCAAGGGTGGTGTGGTTACGCACAGAGCTACCACCGAGGTTGGCMAGTTTGTAGATGCAGGTCTGTGCCTGTGCCAGCAACAATTTTTCCCAGAACTGCAGCATAGCCTTGGAGAGGTCGACCGTGGAAATGTATTCATTCTCTCGGGAATGATCTAGGATTTGTCGACACAGAGACAGGTGGCTCGCTGCTTGTTGCAGACTCGATATCGCGGACTTGAGGCCTTCTTTTGTTTTGTCGTCCGTCTCCAGGGCGGCRGATGCAGACCGCAGGGCAGCAATATTCCACAGCGTGCACGCCCGATCCCACAGCAGTGTGTGGTGTGTTTCTGGAACCCCGTTTCCACCGCAACCCGCTTTTTGAGCACCATGATCGTCGTCGTCCGAAAAGGCGCCCCTCCAGGTMAGATCGATCCCGTTTTCTTCGTCGGCGTCGCCACCTCCACCCGTGGGAAAGCCGCGCTTTTCGAATTCCAAGAGGGTGGCGTGATAATCCTGGCAGTCTCGGAGCATTTCGTGCTCCTCCAGGGCGGTCCTGTGGGAATCCTGCAGGGCTTCCGACATGCAATTCCGCAGGGCTGCTATGCGGAGCAATTCCGACCGACACTGGACCGAATTGTAGGCTGGTTTCGGAACGATCATGGCGGGGGCCGCATCGACTCCCGCGYAACTATTGCCGATGTTCTCCTTGTGGAAGGCCACGTGGGARTCGTCGTTGTCCAACCAATTTGCGAGCGGTTGCACCAAATCGTAGCGAACGGGCACCTTGAACGGTAGGTATAATGTCGAACTAGGCATGCTAATAAAACAATGTGACTGTGCGTGGACTTGCGGCAATCAGGTTCCTGAATGCTTCGTTCGGACTTCTTTCTCGTGCCGCGTCTGGGTCCTGTCTCTTCAGAAAAGATGCCTCGGTAGTGGGGAACTAAAAGTACAACGCTATGAATTGTATCACGATCGTTCACCCTTGTTGAGTCTCCCGTACGGTACTCGTACTCGTACTCGTACTCGTACTTGTAACGTGCTTGGCGTCGTGCATAGAAAGAACAGGCCATCGACGGAAAAGTCGACGCTCAAAACTGCTACCGTTGGAATTGAGTCGTGCATGCATAGATCGTGAAAAAGAACTCTATCCTTAATCAAACCTTAAAAGTTCGATACGTATCGTACGGTACGGTACGTACTCGTACCCTTTAGGGACGAGTATGTAATCGTACCAGAACTAGTCCTTTCTCGTATCATTCGTATCGTACGGTCCGGTACGGTACCTTATCGTACTGTATGTCGTATGGCAATGTTCGTTCGAGTACGTACGGTACGTTTTCGATTTTCGTTCACCTGTGATTTCGAACTACTAGTATTAGTACAAATACCGAGTACTGTACTACGGTAGTACGAGTACTAATCGTACGGTACGTCGTATGTTTCCGTTCGGTCGCTGCGAAATCCAAGATCTTGAGAAAGTTTTCTTCGTTTCCATTTTGACGATGGAACACACACAAACGATCACTTACTCGACACGACGACACAAGAATACAATACTTTACGAAGCACTTGCTCCTATTATATTGGTTGTATCAGAATTCAAATAGGAAAGCAAATAGCAGTAACGCAAACTGCAAGAAAAGAGTGACAAATATAGACAGCGCTATCCGGACCAGCGCAAGAAACAATAACGAAAACAGCATGACGACGACGGGGACAGCTACCCAACAGAAATGGAATAGATGGGGAACAAGCAGCTATACCGTAATGCCACACGTCTCACCGGAGTCCAAGGCCATCGCAGAGACGTACCAGCTACGGCCAACGGACGTCGTAGTCCTATCCTTCCCCAAGACCGGAACGACCTGGACGCAGACGGTGTGCGAGCAGCTCCGGACCAGGGCCGAGGGATACGATGGCTTCGGCGACATCACCGAGCGCCAGCCGTGGCTCGAATTTGCCCACGACTGCGGGCAAGACTTGGACGACGGTTTGTACGATGCCTACAAGCCACGCATCTTCAAGTCGCACCAGCTCCTGAGCGCCATCAATCCCGGGGGAAAGTATCTCTGCATAGTTCGGGATCCCGCCGCTACGCTGCTATCCTGGTTTTCCTTTCAAAAGGCCAAAGGTCGACCGGGGTATGCCGAATACAAGGACGCGAACGAGTACATCAAACACCGACCCGAGCTCTTTGGCGGACACCWCATTTTCGGCACCAATCTTTGGCAAGTAAGTTACTAAAATACTACCATTCCGGTCAGAGTTACGTTTGTGTCCAACCCTATCCGCAACATCGAATTTTCTACGACTTACTAACGATGRACCCACACGCACTCACAGATGTACGCAGAAATCTGGTCCGCACGGAACGATCCCTCCGTCAAAGTCCTTGTATACGAAGCGCTCATCGCAGACGGGCCCAACGATTATATGGATCACCTGCCCGTGATCCACGACTTTCTCGGTTTGCGAACGAACCACACCAGCCCAGAGGAGGACGAGGAAACCAAGACCCTCTACCAAAAAGTTGCATTTCTCGTGTCGCGAGCCGAAATGGTCCGGCACGCGGAAAAATTCAAGGACACCTTTATTGCCGAAATGGGGAAAAAGCACGGCCGGGCCCTTCGCATCATGGAACCCGCGKCCAAGGTGCGGAGCAAAAGCGACAAACGAGCGGAGCTCGACGAGGATACCCTTGAGTGGCTGGAGGACCAGTGGCTGGAAAAGATAACCCCACATACGGGCCATGCGACCTACGATGAATTTGCGACGGAGCTATCGGATCTCTTCTTTGAAGGCGTYGTCGACGAAAAASAAGTCGAAAAGGCAGGGGCAGAACCACTGCCATTGTCCCACGACGAGATTGARAAAAAGCAACATCGCCCATCCAGGAAGAGCAGCATCCTGGTGAGACGAAARTCGAGCATAGTTGTCCAACAAATGCCAAGCATCCGTCAGCGACGAGAAACTCTTGCTCCTCTCGACTAGATATTCTATATAGCCTAGAAATGTACTCTTTWATCTTCRTTCTCCTCTCTTCCTAATTTTTACTGAAATGTGATGGGTCKTCAAATACAGTMAAARAAATATTAGTGTAACAAGATTCCTAAAAGTTGTTCAAGTAATTAGCTATAACTCCGTTTGCATCTTGACTGCTTGTAATCTAGCTCGAAGGGCTGCAGCGCGACTAGTTGCCGAGGTTGCTGGCATTGGAGATAAYACATCAGCCGACGAAGATTTGGCTGCATCTTGTTTTTCCTTCGCTGCTGCCAACCGTTCGCGGAAGGCATTTACGGAAGGATTTGGAGGTGCCTCGTTATCGTCTCCAACAGTGAATGACATTGCTTCATTCCTTTGCGCTCCAGAACCATMGGGATCTGAAGGTTTTTGTCCGGGATTGGTTGGGGGAGGATTAKCGGACGCTACATGCGATAACGCGGCTTGTGTGCCATTGCGCTTCGCTCGGAGTTTCAGTGCCAATTGGGAAGGAGGAGGTTCGTCCGACGACTGTAACGCAGAAGGTTCTGGGACATTTAGCTTAGAGCGAAGATTTTTTATTCGCTCCGACATTGATACATTAGATGTTTTTGGTGATGGGGGTCTCGAACCTTCAGATAGTTCTTTCAACAGATAGCTGCGAAATGCAGGCGAAACATCTTGTAGGTGATTTTTCAATTCTTCGTCTCCGTGGATTTCATTGTAACGTTTCAAGGCGTTGATTGCTGCGGTGCGGTCAGGTCCTTGGGTAGCACTAACGACAGCAGAAACTAACGATGCGACGTCATCCTTCTGGGTAGACTTTCGTGGCGGACTTGATGGTGCCATTCCAAGTTCCAATGCACAAGAGGCAACTAATTCTCCTACGGCAGAAGAATGTGGATCGATCTCAAGACCACTCAATTCTTCCTGCAGAGACTTGGTTTCCCCTCGTGCTTTCAAAACAGCAAGGACTATGAGTTTAGCTACATTTTTTGTTGAAGTAACTCCTTCGGGGTAATCTGCCTTACGCCAGGCTCCCAAAGTATCTTCTAAGCAGCACAGTACAGCTTCAACATCCATGCTTGATGCAGAAAAAGGCTGCAATGAACTATCTTCGGCCTTGATGACCCTTGTCGTTAGCTTTGTGACGACCCTCGACAAGCGATTTTTGAACTGAAAATCCATGGATGGATTTGTGTTCGAAGATAATTGATCTTGCAATAGAATTAGGGCTTGGAATGAATTTGCTCTTGCAGTCCCTGTCGCAGCTTGGACAGCGAGCTTATTGATAGCTCTGACCATTTGCGTGCTCGTTGCGTCATCGATTTGCGGGGTGGGCTTCTCTCCAGATCTAGATGATTGCGCCAATCTTGGATCCAAAAGGGCGGTGCCTGACTCCTTAATTAACATTGTCAGGTCGTCAACATTCACGAGTGTCGCYAAATCACCTGATCTAAATATGGCCATTAGGCCAGCCAAATTAACTGAAAGCAATGGAACAGACATCCCTGCACTCACATTCCTTGAATGACAATGAAATCCGAATGGAATGAGTTGGGTCAGAATCCCAACTACCTCGGATGCCTTTTCTCTGATCTCCTCGCGAAGGTTTGCGACACCATTCATCGAAATCATTACGGCAAGATTCGCCTGTTTAGAAACCGCAGCATGGATATTCTTGAGTATATCTGTGCAATAAATCAGGTCTTCATCCATTTCATCGATTGGGCATGGTTTTTCGAGAAGCGACCTCACTTTTTCGAGCATAGTTTCTAAAATAGGCCCATTGTCCTGATCAAAGCTCATAAATGAATCACCAGCTATTTGAGAAGTATGCGGATGAAAATCTCCTGAGTGTTGTGTATTCACCTTAGCTACTGCGTCAGTCATCGGGATTGTGATGGTCTCGCTGGGCTTCACTGTGATTTGTCTATTGCTTTCCCGAATTTTTAGCAAACGAGCTCTCAGAGATGCCGCGGCTCCAACGGGCGATGGTACAGATTTCTGATTTCCAGAAGAGCCCAAAGTACTACTTGAAAGTAGGTCCGATTCTTCAGAAGCTGAACCCAGATTTGAGTTGAATAGGTCAGCTTTCACAGCAGCGCTTGAATTATCTTTGTACGAGGAACGAAGAGGAAGTCCTTGCGCAGAAGATGAAAAGGACATTTGAGGCAATTTCGTTGGAGTGGATCTTGGACTTTCTTTTTCTCGCAACGCTCTTCGTAGATCGAGAGCAGGCAGCTCGTCTTCAAACACCGCTGGGGTAGAAAAATTATAATCTGTTTCGATCTTTCTAACCGAAGTTGACAAATTCATTTTCGACGTAGGACTTGAAAGTCCTGGTCGCGGAAGCCGAGACGCCTTTTGGGGGCTGGGGATTTTAGTCGATGGTATCTTTCCAGGAGATGGGGCCTTCTTCATCTGTTCCTCGATCAAGCCTCTGGCATGATGGCTAAGCGACGAACCACAAATTTTGCTGAGACGTTGAACATCATTGTGCATCCGTGAAACTAATAGGACCATCAAATCCAAGAGAGCTGCTCTATTTTCTGGAAGCTTGTCAGTTGATAGGGCCTTAGCAGCTACAAGAACGCCCCTTTTGCCGATACCACTCAATCCAATGGCCTCGACGCACTGATAGCAATTTTGGCATGCTAGTAAACGGGCTTTGGCCTGTGAAGAACTTTCCATCAATGGAACACATACATTTGGACCCAGCCGCTTATCAAGAATAAGTGCATCCGATTTTATGGAAGAAATCAAGTCCATGTACGTATCCTTAAAGCGACCTTTTGCTACGCTGGCTCTTTCGAAGAGGAAAGTGACAAAGAGGGCTACCTCTGAGTCAGAAAATTCGTATAGTATTCCAYTGAGGTAAGAAATCAATTCAGACAGCATATCTAGAAGTCCAGTCAAACCAACTGCGCTTTCTTTGCAGCCCATTACGAACACGCTCCATCGAAGAATAAAATGAAGTTGTTCAACCACGACTGATCCTTGCTCCTGTTTGTCCATGTCAATGGCTTGTCTCAAAAGTCCGAAAGCTTCCATCACATCACTTTGATTCCTTATGCCTCGGTCAGGGAACAGTTTTTTAATTGAATCGGGTGGAATTATTGGTGCCCATGCCTTCTTGAGCCCTGAATATAAACCCGAMCCAGAAGGTTCTTCTGGATATTCTGGCCAAGTAAGAGATCGCATGGCAGCTCTTGACTTCTGGATTCCAGTGGTACTCGTATCGTGAACGAGAGGGTGTGAAGAACCTTCATTGTGAAACGCTTCTTCTTCGTCATCAAAGGTTTGCTGCGCAACGGCTGGCAACATACTCTTGCGTGTAGTTGAGGGTTGGAAAGCAGGTTTTGATTCATGGATTGCAGACTTATGCATTGACTTCGAATACGCTCTTTCTCCTAGTGAAGGCCTCATCTTTGTGGCTCGAGATGGCTTTGTTGGAGAGGGTTCGACGGTCGGTTGAAGAACTTGCCCTGATGTAAATGACGAAGATATCCTAGCCAATACCATTCCCACTGATCTCTGTTTTGCTGGGATCATTCGACTTACGCATTTTTTAGCCGTTTGCATGCTAAAGACATTGTTCGTAATGCATTCCGATAGGAGAGATTCTGCAGCAGATCGTATGTCTGCCTTCGACGACGAAAGTCCATTCACAAGCACACTTGCAAASCGRYTACCAACAGTTTCACCTCTCTGGGAAGATATCTTTTCTAGATCGGGCAGGTGCGGAGCAAATGGCTCAGTCATTGCGAGAATCCCAGCAATGCCTGCTGATTTGTATTCAGATCCATCCAGCTCAGCTGTTAGGGCAACCACGAAAGGTTCCAGAGATCGCTGGTTGAGCCCTTCTCCATTTAATYCTGGAATTGATGTACTTCTCCTCAACGCCTCCATCGCAGCATCGTTCATAACCTTCCTTTTGTCATTCATTGCTGCATTCAAAATAGGGCCGTACACAATTCTTCCTAGCTTTCCTTGAGCTTCTCCATCAATCGATCCAAGAACTAAACCGATCAACTTTGCAGCAATTGGCTTCAGATTACTTTGTGAGTCTGACAGTCTGTCACGCATTGCTCTCAGAAGATCGGCCAAAGGTCTCATTTTAGAAGTATCTAATAATCCGCTGCTGCCCTTCAGAGCTTTTTCGACATCTTCTAATGCCGCCTTTCTAGCTTTCCATGCCGTGTTTCCCTCATTCGATCCCATTCTCGACAAACAATCCGATGGGAGCTCAGAAATCAAGTCCATTTTGGGAATCTCAAATTGCATACCAGGTCCAGTGATGCATTGCTCACCATGATTATCTTCCCCCGCACTCGACAATAYATAACTCCTTGGCCATTCTTTAGTGGATAACGACGAATCGAAAGGATTTTCACTGAATATCTTTTCGAACTCTTCGCGTAAGGATGCATCTTTGATAGAGGCTAGAGTGACGGCCTTAAGAATTGGTCCTAACTGAACATGCAGGGTTTTCATTACTGTAAAGGCTGCACGCTTGACTTTGATATTCTTTGATTTGCATTCGGAGAGGCAAAAGGCGACAATTTCCTTGAGACTAGAAGCGATTGAAGTAGCACCAAAATCATTGCAGAAGTCTGTCATCCAGACGAGAAACTCTTCGTGTGCAAGTGGGGATCTTTGTTTCTCAATATTATCACAGGCCGATACTAGAACATCTTCAGGTGGATGAACCACGCATAACGCGGACAGTAAAGTCTTGGAAAATACAGATAGTTTCCTGTCCGCAATTTTCCCGACAGCCAATGCTGTAGCATCGATAACAGAAGATCGGGCGAATTGGCACCGCGACCGCTCGTGATATTCACACAATGCCGAGAATAGTTCCAAGATGCTTCGGGCGAGCACGATGTTTGACTCTTTGAAATTCTTCGTGTGACTTTTAACGACGAATAACAAAGCATTCGAATCGTTCTGTACCTTAGCGTGGTCCTCATGCGGAGGGCACGTCTTGACGAAGCCCATAATTTCCTGGATGGAATTATTTCGAGACTG